GAGGAAGAGCTGGGGTGGGCGGCAGCGGGGATCAGAAGATGCTCTGGGAGGCTTCCGGGACTGAGGAGAATCGGGGTCGTGGAGGTGCTTGCAAGGGGAGGGCCAGCCGGGGGCCTCGTGGTTCCTTTCGGGGGGAGGGGTGCCGGAAAAGGTTCCGAGGTTCCGAGTGGGCTGAGGCTGTTGAACTAGCAAGAGAGGTTTTGTTGTTGTTGTTGAGGAGGAGGAGGTTGGGGAGGAGAGCTGTGTTTGGAGGTTGGAGAAGCTGGGCTGCCGAGGTGAGGAGTGGGGAGACTTCGGCTTGGTGGGAGGTGAGGTTGAAGGAGAAAAACGAATGGCAGCCAAGGGGGGCCTGGGCTTGGAGGTGGCTGTGGGGAGCTCCCCAGCAGTCTCCAGGGAAAAGCCGGGACAAAGACCGCTGGGACTGGACTGGGAGTGGGCTGCAGAGGCCCCCTGCCCTGGATGGCACGGGGCTGGGTGGAAGGCACCAAGGCGGTGGGAGCAGGTGGGCGGAGCTGCTCAGGCCCCTATTGCGCACTGAAGCTGCATGAGATGGGGGTGGGGATCAAAGTTTGGGGTGCATCAAATAAGCCAGCTTTTCTAAGCCTCCCCCCCTCGCTGCCCCTTTCAGGCCAGGAGAGCTGCCTTTTCCAGCCAGGGGTGCTGGTTTTCTCGGGCTCTCAGCTCCCTGCACCATTCTGCATCTCCTCACTTGTGCCAAATGACAGTGCAGTACAGTGTGGCGTCGGTGACAATCGGATGCCTATTCCTGTGCCCTCGGGGTGCGGGCTGCAGAGCTGGCTCAGAGGAGGCCTCTGGGGGACCCCTTCATTGGCCTGAGGACCACTGGCTCCATTCAGGGCCCTCACTGAGTGCCGCTGTGAATTCACACAGCTGGGGCTTTGCAAGAAAACCAGCAGACGCGTTCTTTCCTACTCCCTGCCACCCACAGCACCCACAACCCCCCCAGGCTCAGCCTGAACTGTGCGCAGCCATCCTGCCTGGCAAGGCTGGGGAGAACAGGCAGCCGCTGCTGTGTATCAGATCTCATACTTGCTGACACAGACCTGATGGCTCCTCTTGCCGCTACCCCATTTTCCCCCAGCAGCAGCTTGCTGAGGGGGCCCTGACGTGCTGGCAGGTGCCAGCAGGCCCCCCGACCTCCAGAATGGGATCCGAGCTTTGGCCCCGAGTGGTTTCTCTTTCCCTGTGTAATCAGCAAGGGATGGGTGGGACTAGTCCCTGCTCACTGGCCTTGGACTTCGGCCTGAGCTCTGTGCTCCTCCTTGGCCCGGGTGAGGGGCCCTGGCCTTGGTTTCTGATCTCATCTAACACCGTTCTTTGGCATCGGCTGGGGGCTGGGCCAAGGCAGGGAAATAATACCCTCTTCCCTCCCCCACCCAAGCTTTTTTCCCTGCCCAGCCCCTTGCTGGAGCTAAGATGAGGGATGCGGCAGCCTGAGACCAGCTGGGTCATTTTGGAAGCGTTTTTGTGGAAAGCTTACAACCTTCAGGTCTGGAGAGGGCAGAAGCCCTGAGCAGCGATCAATGATTGCTTCTTAGGTGATCTGTTTTCTGGGCAGCACCCACGCTGTGAGGTCGAGCGCTTGGAGCTGGGACCTCTCCTTGACCAGGCAGGGAGAGGGTCTCCTAAGTGGGAGGTGGAGTGTCTGCCAGCCTCGGTGCAGAGCCACGCCTATTTGCAGCAACCCTGTGACAGCTGAACATGGCAGTGCCTCTTCTGCATCCCCAGCTCTTGGTGGGGAATGGCAGGCACTGGCCTTGAGAGCCACTCCTGAGCATTCCGCAGCCGTCACAGCCTCCTGGCCCCCAGCCCCTACCGGTGCTGCCCACTGGCTTTTGCAGGGTGGTGGGGTGGGAAGGTCCCGACTGGGCTCGCTTTTGCCACTCCAGGCCAGGGGAAGGGAATGAGAAGCAGATGGACCAGCAGCTTCCTCCTCCCGTCAGGCCAGCCGGCGCCTCTCCTCTGCCCTTCCTCTCCCCTCCCCCGGCCTGGCCTGGCCTGGTAACCAGAAGCCCATCCCCTCTTCTCACGTTCCCTGTGCAGCTTCCTCAGGTGTCAGGACCTAGGGGGTGGCCCCAGGCTGTTTGGCCCATGGGAGCCAGTGGGGACAGATGAAGCAAGGGGCTCCCGGGCCTGAGGCTGCCAGGATGGCGTGTAGGAGCCTGGCAACCCCAGTCGTTTTTGAAGGCAGCACTGAAGAGTCTCGTTTGGCTTCCTGGCCTTCCCCTTGGACTTTGGACTTTTCCAGAACGTGCATGTGTGGCATTTTTCCTTCTCTGCCTTCCTTCCTCCCCCTCCCTCAGCCGTCTCCCCTCTCACCATCACCTTGATTTCTCCTCCCATTCTGCCTGTTTGGGGCTTGGCCTCAAGTTCCTCTTCCCTTAGGTTTTTTTGGGGGGGTCAGTGATTCTTAATACTTGGGCTGGAGGTAGGAGTGGGGAGGGCAGGCAGCGATCTGTGCCCAGTCTCTGTGTAGAAGACTGCACATTTGCACACAGTTTGCATCAGTTTCTGAGGCTCTCAGACTCAAGGCTGGAGCCTTGCGGCCCCTTTACCCCGATTGTGAAAGGAAGTTAAGGAAGGGGAAGGGACCTGCAGTGGTCCAGGGACGTTAACAGCATCAACAGCATCAACCAAGGGGAATGTGTCTTTTGGCTGCCTAAGGCTACATGATGAGATTCAGCCCCTATCTCCCTCCTGCCCTGGGCCATCGCTGAACCTGCCTGGTGCCCAGCACACCAGTGCAGGAGAAGCTGGTCCCTGCGTCTCCTCTACCCTGCCCCGACGCCCCGCATGCAGCAAGGGCTGCCTGCCACTGACCAACCAGCCCCAGAGTGACCCAAGCCAGAAAGGGTTAATAACTGCAGTGCAAGCTGGCTTCCGTGCTTGGGTGCTTGGCCACCGCTGCTGCTGCAGTCCCCTCCCTGACATTTGTCCCTTCTGCCCCAAAGAAATGGAACAGAATGGTTCCCTGTGCCTACCCTGCATGCAAGAGGGTGGAGCAGCTGCCTCCAACCTGACCAGAGTCCTTGCAGGCCCTCAGAGCCGCTTAGGTCCACCCTGCCTGGGCCTTGCACCTCCAAATAGGTGACACAGAAACAAGCAAGGATAGCCCCGGACATCGTCCCTCTGGTCTACCCAAGGACTGGCCTGTTTCAGTTTGGAGCCTTCTAGTGCTGCTTGATTAGGCCTCTAGGGCAACTGCTCCCTCCACTTAGCCTCTGGGACTCCCTGCGGCGAGACACAAACCGGTGCTGTACCATGCCAGTGCCGCTGGTTTGGGGCTGGAGCAGACATTTGTCCTTGCGGCTCCAGTGCACTGGGCTGAGATTGGAATCCCTTGGATCTGGGCAGCTTAATCGGCCCTGCATCTGCCAGGCCTGAGCGTCTAGCCCTTCCTGGTACCCAGCTTTCTGAATCACCGTATTCTATCATCAGGCCCTGGCCCTGCCTCCCACCCCGACTGTGGCATGCACCTCCCTTGCCCAGCAGGAATGCCGTGTGCAACTGGCCTCACCAGAAGGGGCTGGGCTGAGTAAGGAGGGTACATCGTGATGGCTGGCTGGCCCGGCGACTGACTTTCTCCCTCCTGCTTTTCCAGGCTGACCAGCTGACTGAGGAGCAGATTGCAGGTGAGTCTTGCCCTGCTTCCCTCGTCTTGCCTCAGGCCGCCCTCTGCATCCCCGGCCATGTCTCACCCACCTAGGGCACCATCTGACGGATGAGCGTGTGTGTCTCCCAGATGACCCAGTGCCATTCCGTGGGTCCAGAATGTTGATAAGTGTGGGTAGAGTCACACCAGGGCCCGGTGACACCGAGCCCCATGGGCCTGAGACCCACCAGACAGCAGAGGCTGTGCTCCTCTCCTGGCGTGGGTCAGCAAGGGGCCTTGACATCAGGGGCTACAGGACGACCCAGCTGTCTCCCAGCTTTAGCCAGAGCGGCCTAGAAGGTGATCGCCTGCCTCCCGTGGGCCTCAGAGCTCCTGTCCCACTTTAGGAGCCGCCCAGGATATGGCTCGTCACTCCCACCCCTGCACTGCCTGCGCCTTGCGCTTCCTCGTGCCCGTGCCAGGGCTCGCTTTCCTCGGCCAGGATGCATCTCTCCCAGCTCTCGGCAGGGGCAGCCCCTTCTCTTCCCTGAGGTCTCCGCTGTCACCTTGGAGAGGCCTCACTGGCCCCCGTCTCAAGTATAGCCTTTCTGTCCTCTCCATCACATCACCTCAGTTTTCTCACAGCCTGTCTTGCTGTCTAAAATTACGTTACTCCATCTCTACCTGTGGTACATCCTGTCACTGCATGTGAGTGCCATGGGTTTGAGACTTGGTTTTGTTGGTGCCTGCTGTATCCTCAGTGCCTAGAACATAGTAGGCACTCTGTACATTTTGCTGGCTAAACTAATGAACAAAAAAGCAACTAACTATCTCTGAGGAAGCTCCAAGAAATCACTGGACCCCATCTCATTCATTTTTATAGCTGCCCTCCCCAAAACCCCAGGAAGGTCAACTGCAGGAACTATTATGTAGTTGTGTTTCCGTGTCCCTCTCCCCAAACCGAGCTGCCTGGGGACAGAGACCAGCCCTCGGTTTCTCTCCGTCACCCCGGGCCAGCACACAGTAAACAAGAGGGAAGACCAGAATGGGTGCCTGGCCCCACCAGCTACCCAGCCCTGGCCTGGCTGTCAGGTCCCACCGGCTGTGTGACAAGTACTAAGTGCTGAGCTGGAGTGCGAGGAGGCGGGCATGGACTCGCCTTCTCTCCTTTCTTCCCCTGGCACCTGTCATACAGAATCATGCTTGCGCCGCTTCAAAACTGTAGCCCCAGACAGCAGTGGAGACCCACTGAGGAAAGCCAGAAAACTGCCTTGTTTGGTGATCGCGAACTCAGGGTGCCCACATGATCCACTCCCTGCCCTTCCCAAGAACAACAAGACCTCAGCACAGGGAGGCGCCAGCATCCCCAAGGAGATCGTTCGCATCTCCCCAGGGCCTGGACGCTTGGGGTCACAGCTGCCCAGCTGTGTGCATCCCTGCCATCCACACCCCAGCTCACTGGCCTTGTGTAACACAAACAAACACTCTGCTTTTCACCCTGGCCCCATTAGCAAACTGTCCACCACCTCACCCCAGCCCACACCCTCTGGGAATAGGCTGCCAGGCATCTGCTCTTTGAGGGTTTGGGGGTAGGGGAGCACCAGGTGCCAAAATGGGCCCAGTGGGAGGGCAGGAGCCACGTGTCTCTCTCCCGCTCAGCAAGCAGCATCTCGGCTCCTGAGGCGTCCCCAGCTGTGGCCTTCCCACTCAGCACCACTAGCGCCCCATTCTCCTGTCTTGGCAGCCGTCCCCTCGCCGTCCATCCCCCCCCACCCCACGCCCCGTCCGTCAGCCATGCTCTGCTGCCGACCACCCCCTCGCTCACCACACGCCGCGGCTCAGCTCCTCCTCTGGAAGCGGGTAGCACCCACGGCAGAGAACAGGGCTGGCAGTGCCAGTCAGAAGGGATTCGATGCCCACATTTCAGCTTCAGGCTGCCAGAGGCATTCTGCGGCCTCCCTTCCCAGGCAGTTGACCCTGGCTCACATTCTCTTGGCTCTCATCCACTCCATGACTTTGGTCCAGTTCATTATTTGAGGGAGAGGCCAAAGCTAGGGACCAAAAAGAAATGTAGAATTCTCTCAGACCGCTGTCGGCCCGCTCTCCCCACTGTCTTCGCTGAGCAGCTTTGCCTGGCACGGAGTAGATGTTGAGCAACTGGTGAATGAAAGGAGGAAGGGTTCTGCTCTGAGCACTAAGGAGAGAGGGCCAGGCAGGACTCGCCTTCTTTAGGTGGGACCGACCCCCTTGGCCTTCCTCCAGGGAGGGAGTCCGGCATCCAGAGGCCTCAGGACCCTGGGCCTTCCCTCGGGGCCTCGGGACCCTGCCTCACTTCCTTCCTCCCCCAGAGTTCAAGGAGGCCTTCTCCCTCTTCGACAAGGATGGAGACGGCACTATCACCACCAAGGAGTTGGGGACGGTGATGAGGTCCCTGGGACAGAACCCCACTGAAGCAGAGCTGCAGGACATGATCAATGAGGTGGATGCAGATGGTGAGCCCGGGGCGCGTGTGGGCAGCCCCACCCCTGCCACCCGAGCCGCCAAGGCAGCCTCCCTCAGGGTGATGGATGAGCCCGAATCTCCGCGACCGGGGCTCTGGGGCCGTGTCCCAGGACCCAGGTCAAAGCACTCCCTCTCCCTTCCCCACCTTCCAGGGAACGGGACCATTGACTTCCCAGAGTTCCTGACCATGATGGCCAGAAAGATGAAGGACACAGACAGTGAGGAGGAGATCCGAGAGGCCTTCCGCGTCTTTGACAAGGTAAGCAGGCCTTTCCTGGGCCGCTCCTACGGCCAAAGCCAGGCTCTGGGCAGGCAGCAGAACTGGAGCTCCAGGGCCACCTCTTCTGAGAGGCCTGGGTCCCAGTGCCAGCTCACTGCCAAGTGGTGGTGGTGACAGTCCCTCCCACCGCCTCTCGCCCATGGGGGTGCCCAGTGAAAGCCTTGCTCCCCAACCTCCAGGATGGGAACGGCTACATTAGCGCCGCGGAGCTGCGTCATGTCATGACGAACCTGGGGGAGAAGCTCACGGATGAGGAAGTGGATGAGATGATCAGAGAGGCTGACATCGACGGAGACGGCCAGGTCAATTACGAAGGTGAGTCAACTCCAGGCTCCATCTTCAGGGCAGAGAACCGCAGCTTCAGGAGCCGGCCCTCGGTCGCTCCGGGCGGGGGGCCGCTGGGTGTTCAGCCGGCTCACCCGCCTTCCCTTCTGCTTCCCTCCACAGAGTTTGTACAGATGATGACCGCAAAGTGAAGGCCCGGGCAGCTGGTGATGCCCGTTCTCTTGATCTCTCTCTTCTCGCGCGCGCACTCTCTCTTCAACACTCCCCTGCGTACCCCGGTTCTAGCAAACACCAACTGATTGACTGAGAGTCTGATAAAGCAACAAAAGATGTGTCCCAAGCTGCATGACTGCTCTTTCTCCTTCCTCCTCCAGTCCCCTCCACGCCCCTCCTCTCCTCCTTTGCCCTCCCCCTCCGTTCACGTCTTCCCAGGCCTGATGCCTGATGCGTCCCCCCCAGGGCCCCTCAGGGGAGCCTCTGCCCTCCTCCTCAGCCCGGGTGGCTCTCCCCGGTTTGGGTTTGTTTCCTTTTGTTGGTCATCTTGTTTTGGGTGCTGGGGCGGCCACCAGCCCTGCCCCAGGACCTGCTGGGGAGGCAGGTGGACCTTGCCCAGGCAGAAGAGCATGCCCTCTGCTGTTGCATGCCGCCAGCCCTGTGATTCCGTGTGCAGATCCCAGCAGCCTTTTGGGGCAGGGGTGCCCAGAGAGGCGTTCCGGAAGGACTGAGGGGGCGCTGAGGAGTTGTGGCGTTGCCTGGATGTGGCCCGGGAGGGGCCGAGGGCCGACTCAACGGACTGACAGTGGGCAGCGCTCGCGTCCCACTGGCTGCTGCTGTGAACCCATCTGATTGGCTTGCTGAGGTGTGGCTGGGTGGGGGACCACTCGTCCGGCCACCTGCAAATTGTTCTTGCCCGCGCTCCTCAAGCGATCAGGAGCTGTTCTGTAAATACCTGGTGCTAACATCCCGTGCCGCTCCCCCTCATGACGCACCCGCCCCCCCACCCCCCCTGCCTTGAGGGCCTGTCCTGGGAATGGATGTGGGGATGGTCGCTTTGTAATGTGCTGGTTATCCCTTTTCCCCTACGGCCCTTGAAACTTTAATTTTGTCCAAAACCGTGCCGGGCTGGCAGAAGGGTGGGGGGAAGAAAGGTGGGCCCCGCCACGCTCTCAAGAGAACATATCTGCAATAAAACAGTCTTGTCAGCCAGCTGCCCAGAGGACGGCAGCCTCTGCTTCCTGGTCCGCCGGCACCTCCTGCTTCTCCGTGGTGACTTGGCGCCGCTTCCTCACATCTGTGCTCTGTGCCCGCCTCTCCCCGCCTCTGCCCTGGCCCACCTGCCTGCCCCCACACTCCCCCAGCGGAGAGCATGATCCGTGCCCCTGCTTCTGACTTTCGCCTCTGGGACAAGTAAGTCAATGTGGGCAGTTAGTCGTCTGGGTCTCTTCCCTCTTCTGTTCATTTCATCTGGCTCCCACCCGCCCCCGCTCCCCACTGCCCCCACTGCCCAGGTCGACCAAGTGGCTTTTCCTGGGACCTGCCCAGCTTTGAGAATCTCTTTTCGTCCACCCTCTGGCACCCAGCCTCCGAGGGAGGGAGGGACGGGGTGTAGTGGGAGACCCAGCCAAGAGCTGAGGGTAAGGGCAGGTAGGCGTGAGGTTGTGGACATTTTCGGAATGTTTTGGTTTTGTTTTTTTTTTAAACCGGGCAATATTGTGTTCAGTTCAAGCTGTGAAGAAAAATATATATCAATGTTTTCCAATAAAAGACAGTGACTACCTGACTTGGCTCTTCCCATCCTGTTTCTGGGCCTCCCCTACGTGCACTCCTGGGCCCAGCCACAAAAGAGCCCTTCCTCCATGCTGGCTCTAAAGGTGTGTCCAGTCAGTGCAGCAGGGTGGGCACCAGCGAGCCGGATTCCAGCTGGGCCACACAAATCAACTGCAGGGCGAGAACAGAGATGGCTCCAGGGTGGACCCGTGGCATCACAGGAGCACACAGAAAAGGGTTCCGCCCAGTTGGGTGGCAGGATTGAACTGAGATCTACACCTGGCCACCTAGGGAAAGGAAGGCCGATCAGTCAGAGAGACCAGTGTGTGTAGAAGCCTTGAGCTGGGCAGAGCAGGACACACTGAGGAACTGAAAGAAAGCCAGTGAGGCTGGGTGAGAGCCCAGAGCAACATGGGGCCCAGCGAGGCGGACAGGAAGGTGAGGACAGGCCTGCAGGCCGGGTGCTTCGGGGAAGCTGGTGGCAACATCAGGCTGCCCAAACGGACCAAGTTTGGATCTGCGGTGGTGAGAAAACAGGCAAGATCCTGAGCTCACCCAGAGGGCTTGTGAGTCAGCGAGTTTGGAAATGTTAACAAAAGGCCCAAAACAATTTCAGACCACAGAGCTCATTAATGATCTTGGAGTAAGTGGGGCTAGAGTGGAGAGCCGTGTCTGAACCCTCAGGGGCTTTTCCCAAAATACGTATGCCCCCAGCTACAAATTCCATACATTTCTCCTGCAGGGGCACAGGGAATGAAAGGTGACTATACACCGTCTTGACTTCTAAGCTTCTTACAGGAGCTGGCAGGAGTAGAGCAGCCTTGGAAGGCTGGAGAAGCTGGGCCCAGCCTCAGGGCCTTCCTTGTGGCAAGAGATCAGGACTCAACCAGGTCTCCTGGTGTGTGCCTGTCGCCAGCGCCAGCGCTGTGAGTGGACAAGCTGGGAGCAGCAGGCCATTTCCGGAGCCAGGTTCTGGGCTCCTTTTACCCGCTACCCGCTTGTGGCTTGGCCTTTGGCATAGCAGTGAAGAGAGTGGAGCGTCCTGGATAAGAACTCAGGTCTGGGCCGACTAGCTTCTGGCTCACTTACTGCCTTGTGGCCTTGGGCAGATGCCTCAGGTCTCCGGGCCTCCATGACCCTGTTTGCAAAATGGGAGCATAATAGTGCCAGCCCACTGGGCTCAGCGGAGGATTGGATGAGCCAGCAAGGAGACCTGAGATGCTCATCAAGGGCTAGGGGGAATCGGCTGCTATTGGTTGGGTGCTTTCTACTTCACAGGTTGTCTTACAAACTTGGCATCCATGATCTCATTGGAGCCTTTTTTTTTTTTTGAGTTGGGTCTCACTCTGTCACCCAGACTGGAGTGCAGTGGCTGCTCCTGGCCACCGCAGCCTCGACCTGCTGGGCTCCAGCGATCCTTCCGCCTCAGCCTTCCAAGTAGCTGGAACTATAGGCATGCGTTACCACGCCCGGCTAATTTTTTATTTATTGTAGAGATGCGGTCTCGCCAAGTTGCCCAGGCTGTTCTTGAACCTGTGGGCTCAGGCAATCATCTCTTACCTCAGGCTCCCCAAGTGCTGGGATTATAGGCGTGAGTCACTGCACCAGGTCTTGAGCAAGATGGTTTCTTTTTTTGAGTTGGAGTCTCACTCTGTGGCCCAAACTGGAGTGCAGCGGCCGCTCCCGGCCACCGCAGCCTCGACCTGCTGGGCTCCAGCGATCCTTCCACCTCAGTCTTCTAAGTAGCTGGAACTACAGGCGTACGCTACCACGCCCGGCTAATTTTTGATTTATTGTAGAGATGAGGTCTCGCCAAGTTATCTGGGCAGGTCTTGAACCCATGTGCTCAGGCAATCCACTCACCTCAGTCTCCCAAAGTGCTGGAATTACAGCCTGAGCCACCGAGCCCAGCCTCACTGAAGCCTTAAAGCAACCATTTGAGCCAGATGTTCTTTTCTTCCTTCCCATGTTGCTGAGTAGGAAACTGAGGCCCAGAAGAGTGAAGTCACTTCTCCAAGGTTATAAGGTGGGAAGTGGCAGAACTGGAATTCAAACCAGATCTGACTCTAAGGAGTTCAAGCTCTCAACTGCTGGGTTGTATACTAAGTGGTAGTTTAAAAAAAGACTAGAAGCCAGGCGCCGTGGCTCAGCCTGTAATCCCAGCACTTTGGGAGGCCGAAGCGAGAGGATTGCCTGGGTCCAGGGGTTTGAGACCAACCTGGGCAAGTTGGCGAGACCTCGTCTCTACAAAAAAATCAGAAAATTAGCCGGGCCTGGTGGTGCACACCTATAGTTCCAACTACTTGGAAGGCTGAGGCAGATGGATCACCGGAGCCCAGCAGGCTGAGGCTGCAGTGGCCGTGAACATGCCACTGCATTCCAGCCTGGGCGACAGAGTGAGACTCCAACTCAAAAAAAAAAAAGAAAGACTTTAGGGGGGCCAGAGTTACAGCCAGCAGGGAGGCTAGGCTGAGGTTGGCTGCATGGTCGTGGGGACTGAGATGAACCCTGCCACCTTATCAACCAGGATGCCTGTGGAAAATTCTGGGCCAGTAGTTGGGAGGAGGACAGGCTTTGGTGTCCCATGGAATTGGGCTCAAACTCCAGCTGGACCACTCACTGGAGTGAGTGCTCACGAGCCTAGGGGGCTGCTTCCTACTTGGTAAGCTTGGAGCAGTGACTCTACCTCTCTGGGACCCCAGTTGACGAGTATGCAAAACGGCAAATAATAACCTGTACACAGAAGATCACAAAAGCATCCACCTCGGTGGGTTGTGCCAAGCCCTTCATAGATATCATCTCATTCAATCCAACCCAGGCCGGATGGATTCCTTCTGAAATGCAGCCCCCTACTTAGGGGTCGCGTCCCCTGGCCCCGGGCCCACACCGGCATGAGAGAAGTCACTGCAGACGTGACCATAGAGAGCAGCAGTCCAGCAGGTGAGGCCTCCCCTCACACTGCATTTCTCGGAAGCAGCTGAGCCGGGTCTCAAGGCCCAGCACACTCGGATCCCAGCCGCCCACGCTTCCCCCAGGGCATCCATCACCGCTCTCCTCGGCTGCCTGGCATTTGTTCCCCCTTGGGCCCTATGTTTCAAAAGACATTTACTTCCAGACAGGCTGCATGATTAAATAATCATGACTCCCCTTTCCCATCCTTTATTAATCAAAGACATAGATGGCACTCAGCTTCTAATGGCCCCTGGGCAAGCAGGCAGGGAAGTGGCTCCAGCCCGGAGCAGAGAGGTGCCCGGATCGGGCTGGCAGGCCTACTGCCTCAGCTGGAAGCCTGTCCTCGGGTGAGCAGACAAGAGGATAGCCAGAGTGCCCACCCGGCAACCTCGCTTCCCAGAGGGAGGTTCTGGGGCCACTTCTCAGTGTCACTCCCAGTGTGACCAGCAGGTGGGGCAATGACCACAGAAGCCCCACGGAACTCCCAGAACCTGCCATGCTATGTCCCTGTGCATGCTATGTCCGTGGGCGTGTTTAACGCCCAGCTGTGGGTCAGACCCGGTGCTAGAGTGATGGAAATGAATACGAAAATGGATTTTAAAACGAATAAATTCCCCTTGAGGGAGACAGACCCATTCCCAGAATGTCACTTCCTGAGTCCCACCCTAAACTAGGGTGCATGCCTAGCACAGCCTTCCAGATCCACGGGTGGAAGCCAACTGAGGACTGAAAATATTCTCACAGGCTGGGCACCTGTCATCCCAGCACTTTGGGAGGTGGAGGCAAGAGGATTGCCTGAGCCCAGGGGTTCA